CTGGAAAATACTCTGTATTTTTTACTACAGTGTAAGGATTTATTGCTATCCAACTGTGAAATATACAGTACTCTATAACTTTTCTGTGAAAGTATCCTTAAAACAATGAAAAATACGAAGAATTAAGTATTTTCTGAGCTGCTTTTAAAACAAACATAATTGCTCTGAATTTCTTAAGCCTGGCTTTGAATTTATCACCACGGCATCTATATGGGAATGCTGCATTCAAAGTTTTTATAAAGCTGCTTTTAGTCTCACTCTGTTACTGTTACATGTGGCTACTATCATGTGATTTGCATATATTTGCACAGTAGCTGAAAAAATACGTATTGCTATGTAGTTCCAGAGACAACTAACTTACATTCTAAATAAAGAAAAAAATAAAGAAAGACAAACATAAAGAAAGAAAAAAACAAGCACTGACAAAGTGTCAAGGGTTAGGGCTCGGCCAGCTTATTAAATGCTGACAGATGCTCTCTAATCCTTCTGCCTCCCTAAATGGGAAGGGAAAGGGCATAAGGCAGAGACTTACTGACTGGAAAAGAAAACTAAACCAGCTTTAATAAAACAATAATAGCACTAATATGGAAATAATGAAAATAATGAAGTATACACAGATATACATAAATATACACAAAATCAATATCAAACCCACCTCCCCCCCTGCACCTGATAGTAATCACCACTGATGCTGCAGAGCCGGCAAAGCTCTGGGGAAGCCCCAGGCTCAGTGGCAGAGGGGAGCTGGATACGGGAGCTCAGGATCCGGATCAAAGGCAAAAGACTGGACGGAGTCCTCCTCAGACACCAGCCATTGAAGAAGAGGCCTTAAACCCCGTGATCCCTCAGCTTTATACTGAATATGACGTGTATGGAATAGATTACTGCTACTGGGTCACCGGTCCTGTCCATTCCTCCCCAGAGGTGCAACTTTTACTTCCTTCCAACCCCTCTACTTCCTGGCACCCCCAGCGGGGCACTCAAGATCCAGCAGTGACCTTGGTCACTGCAGGAGCAAGTATAAGCAGCTGCCTTTCTGCATACCAGTCCCAGGCAGTAACTGTAAACATCAGGCGTTATCACTTCTGCAAAAACACGCTGTTGACAACAGAAAGTGCAGGCTCTTAGAAGAGACTGAGATGGAAAGTAGAATCACGGAATAAAATTGTTTCAGTTTAGCTCAAATCAGGACACAAAACCAGATCTGAGTTACATTTTCTGGTGATCCTGTACTCACTACTACCCACCCACATCAACAGTGTAAGTTTAGTGTCTCAGGTCAAGACTGCACTCATATAGTCACTAATTTCCTGCGACTGGCAGCACTCTGCACAGCCTTTACTAAGATTTACAACCTACCTACTAAAGACTCAATTAATATCCCAAGAGCTAAAGAATGAGTACATTTATACAAATGAAGCAGGTCTATAGGCCCCTAGCTCCAAGGAGTCTTTGAGACTCATAAAATATGTATACAGACACATAATTACTTCACCGATTGAAATATAAACATCTCCTGATGTCATTAATTCCTCTCAAAGCAGTATTTTATGACTTCAACCCTGGCTATACCCCCAACTTAAAGAAGCAACCCAAAAAAGCATCACGAACTTCTTGCACATTTCATGGAGATAAGTAAATAAAAATAACCTGGTGAGGATTCCAGTCACTATCAAAGATTATAACAGTGTCAGCAGCCTGGAGATTTAAGCCTAGTCCTCCAGCCCTTGTACTCAGCAAGAAGATAAAGTATTGTGATCCAGGTTCATTGAACTTCTTCAACAGAGCAGCTCGATCCTCTGATTTTGTTGTGCCTGAAAAATAAATTAAAAACCCCATACCCTATAATAAAGATGTGAACTGAAATAATATAAATACAATGTCATCTGCTGAAGGTATATGTGGACGGGGAATTTTAGCTCACTTGCTCTTTGACATCTATGCCACATTTTCCACAATACAAAATAAAAACTTCCCATGAATGTTTTGGTCAACTGCCTATCACACCTAAGAGATGGATTTCTAAATACTTTTTAAGTATGTCTTTCAAGATTCCAAAAGTGGATTTCAAAACATTGGCTTATACTGCTACACTTTTTTACAACTCAGATAATCTTCAAGTGAAGTTACTATCCACAGACAGAAGAAAGCTCCAGTTTTGATGAATGCCTTCTGCTCACAATAGCATCTGTATATTTTTAAAAGTTACTTATATAGAGATTTATTAAAACGTCAGTGTTGGTCTTCAGATTCATAGTTAATACGAAAGGATTGAAAATTCTTTACATGTCCTATACTGAGGGTGATGGTGTACAATTGCTGAGGAAGAGCAGGTGAGGAATTCCATCACAGTGAAAACACGAAGTTCTAAGGAAAAACAAGCCCTGAGCACTCTGGTGACCAGATGTACTTTGACGACAGTCTACATGGATCATCTTAGCTGGATCCACTGTTTGCCTTACCTTCTTTACACGTCTGTCAGTAACTGAAAGCCAGAGAAAGCCTGCTATTTTCATTCAGGTATCAATACATACACAGAAGAAGAAGTTTTTCTATTATTGTGGTGGGTAGAGCCCAGCTGGCTGCCAGATGCCCACTCCTCACATCACTCTCACTCACCCTCCTCACCAGTACAGGGAGAAAAGATGGAAAAGCTCCTGCACTGAGATAAAGGCAGTTTAATATAAGCAAAAGCTGTGCCTTGTAAACAAAGCAAAAAAAAATCGATCTAGTATTTCCCATCAGCAGGCAGATGCTCAGCCACATCCTGGAAAGCAGGTCCTTAGCACCTGTAGTGAGTACTTTGGAAGACAAACACTGTAACAAGGAATGTCCCTGCCACCTCTTCTTTTCCTTCAGCTTTTATTGCTGAGCATGTCCTTTCATCAGTTTAGGTCAACTGCCCAGACTGGGTCCTGGCTCACCCTCAGCCCACTGGCCTTGGGGGTGGCGTGGAGGAGGTTTGGAGAGAAATCCTTGACGCTGTGCAAGCACTGCTCAGCAATAGCCAAAATATCAGATTGTTACCATTAGTGTGTTATCAATCCTGCCTAGTCACAAATTCAAAACACAGGGCTACAGGGGCTGCTAGATCTGTTATACTGGCCAGATCCAGTATAACATCACAGCCAAGCACCTGGCCCACAGAAACCCATTCCCTTAAGATGCACATGACTTGGGTAGATACCACTCTATATAGAGAAAAGAGAGCTGGATAGAATCTACTCATATATTACATTCCAGCATGGAAAGTATCTGTCATCATAAAACTGGAAAAGAAGAAAAAAAGGCTTCATCTCCCTGATTTCATGAATTACCTGCAAAACCTTAAAGAAAACACGGAACTCTATTTACCATACTGTATATTGCCAAAAATATTTTAGCAGGAAAATTAATGCATTTAAAAATGCATTGTGTAAAGCACTTTAAACCACATTAAATGTAATCTAATTCATCATTCCTGAATGGAAGTATTAAAACACCTGCAGACTAGAACTGCAAGAAGAGTTTTCTTAGCATTATCTGGCACTCTTCAGCCAGCTTTGACAAAGACATCCTGTGGGACAGATCATTTTTGTCTGTTTCATTAGCCCATTCTACATTTGAGGATAGTGGCATTTGAAGTTTATGTTCATTAACATCTGTAAAAGCTAAGAATACTTCTCAGTATTACTTTGTCTTCCAAATAAAGCATGAAGCAAAGAGTCAACTTAAAATGCTGTAAAAAGAATATTCACAAGGAACTTAAGCTCTCACTTTCTTCATGCTCTATTTTTCTTATATCATTACTTTTCCATTAAAAAGGTATTCTGACAAATGTTGGTGGCCTTGTGTAGTACTATCATATGTGAGATAAATACATTAAGGAAAAAAAAAATATTTAAGAAGGTCTGTATGAGGCAGAGACCGTAAACATGGAAGAAGGCCAAAATGGAAACTTCTTTCAAACAGGTTTAAGTCTCAGATAGGATATGCTATTTTTAATTATTTTCCTCTCATACTCATTCCACTGTGTTTCTAAATCGTCTTTCCATACAAAGGCAATGAAACACATTTACAGATAAAGTAATTAAAGCTACTGACCTTCCTGTTAAATTCAGGAAGAAAGCTACAGGTACTACTTTACCTGTCAGAGAAATTCAAGTATGCTGTGAAGAACAGCAGCTGAACTTTAAACAGGTACAACTGATTGCATTAGAATCTAGGTAAAACACTGGCATTATCACTTCTCATCTTGAGAATACTTGTAGGTAACTTAGACTGTGACAACTGATTGGGACCTTGGATTTAAACCTGATTTGAAAAAGAGATCAGGCCCTAAATATCAAATCTCTAATCATCTCTGTTCCAGGAACAGAGTTTATCAAAACAATCCTCTGATCAAATGATTTGCGGGTTAAATAGATGAAAGAAAATAGTCAAAGAGCCAGGGAGACAGAGCATTACTTAATATCAACCCCACCAAGAGAGGCAAAAGTGCATCTTGTTCAGAATTTGTCTGTAAGAACAGGGAAAAATTCTTGTAAACTGCAGACTGAGTCTGCTGCCTTAACTTAATGATAAATACCCTCTCAGACTTCTTCACAGATTTGTGAAATCATTTTTTGAATCTGTTTACACTTTTGTGTAGTCACATGGCAGCACTTGCATTCTAGGAAGCCACTAGGAATAAACATCTTCCATGCCCAAACTAATGAAGCATGCTACATCCCAAATTCTTATTTATCTTTCTTTTTTTGGTTTAGCTTACCATCGAGACGCAGGTAAAGGAAATTTCGAAATGCAAAGTAGTCTTCCATAATGGTCATGAGTGATGTCATTTGACAGAAAAGAAGCACACGATGGTTAGTAGCTCGTAACTTTGGTAGAATACGATCGAGTAGCTCAAACTTCCCTGAGGCTCGATAAAGTTCAGCTCTGTTGAAGAGAAAAAGTACAGTAAACACCAGAACAAGCTCACATTTAGAAAAATTTTGTCACCATCATGTCAGAAAGATTAATTTACTTAAGATAAACAAAAGTAATAGCATTTTTCTCTCTTTAAAATTGTTTATGTTGACTAAAACAAAAAAAATAAACAGCTACATAAATTTCTGCTTGGAAATGATTTTTCTTCAATTACAAAAACTACATGACTTCCAACTACACAGAATACCGCCCTTTATGATACTCAATTGTTTCATGATTTAATAAAACAAACATTATATCTCAGCCAGGTGAGTATTTTATCAGTTAAGACACTTCACCTGTTACTTTTCCTTTCAACTGCCATTTACTGAAGCTCAAAGTTGCATTTATTAGGCACACTTTACTCCTATGTAGTACTACACAGTACTATGCACATAAAAGTGAAATACTCCAAACTGAACTCATTTATAGAGCTAATGGGAGGAGTTTGACAGAAGCTAACTTTAGCCATATAATCTTAGTAGTCCTGAACAACGTTTAGTTGCTTTGGTCAGCTGCTGTTCTGTCTCCTATGCTATGAATTGCAAAACAGACTCTGAGCATTGAAATTCAAGACAGACTGGAGAGCTGGGCAGGGAATAACTTGATGAAATACAGCAAGGGAAAGTGTAGGATCCTACATCTGGGCAGCAACAACCCCAGGTTCCAGTATAGGTTGGGGACTGACCTGTTGGAGAGCAGTGTAGGGGAAAGGAACCTGGGGGTCCTGGTGGGCAGCCGGATGCCCATGAGCCAGCACTGTGCCCTCGTGGCCAAGAAGGCCAATGGCATCCTGGGGTGTATTACAAGGGGAGTAGCTAGTAGGTCGAGAGAGGTCCTCTCGCCCCTCTGCTCTGTCCTGGTGAGGCCACATCTCGAATATTGTGTCCAGTTCTGGGCCCCTCAGCTCAAGAGAGACAGGGAACTGCTGGAGAGAGTCCAGCGCAGAGCCACAAAGATGATGAAGGGAGTGGAACATCTCCCTTATGAGGAAAGGCTGAAGGAGCTGGGTCTCTTTAGTTTGGAGGAGACTAAGGGGTGACTTTATTAGTGTTTATAAATATATAAAGGGGGAGTGTCACGAGGATGGAGCCGGGCTCTTCTTGGGGCCAAATAATGATAGGACAAGGGGTAATGGAATCAAGCTGGAACACAAGAGGTTCCACTTAAATTTGAGAAGAAACTTCTTCTCAGTGAGGGTGACAGAGCCCTGGCACAGGCTGCCCAGGGAGGTTGTGGAGTCTCCTTCTCTGGAGATTTTCAAAACCTGCCTGGGTACCTTCCTGTGTAACATCATCATGGTGATCCTGCTCTGGCAGGTGGATTGCACTAGATGATCTTTTGAGGTCCCCTCCAATCCCTAGCATACTGTTATACTGTGACAACTGAGAAAATTGATAGAAGTAAACAAGATATCTAAATCAGCATTACAGTGATATGCATTACAAAATTAAAATTCATGTAACTTTTCTTAACCTTTAGTATGTACTGTCAAAATAGGATTTATCATTAGCAATTAAATGCTTAAGTGCACAAGGCTTCTGATATGCATACGTACATGATCCGCAAAAGACTAAACTGTTTATGAGACAAGTGGTCTGGTACACTATTTAAGGAGATAAATAGTCTGGTATACTAGTTAAGGAAAAAGAAAGAAATGTCATTTACACTTTAACTGGAAGGGGGTCAGGTAAGAAGATAGACGCCTTGCCTTTAGAATGCATTCATTTCCTGACAGTTGCACAAAGAAGTGCCAAAACCAAAATTTAAATCTATTTCATTTCAAATAATGGAAGGCACGCTACTTTCACTTGGAATAAAGATGGTAAAGATGGAAAAACAGAAAGCAAAAGTAACAGGAAGAGAAGAAAATCCCAACTGGTATCTCTGAATAAGATTCCAGTGAACTTTAGGTGATACCTAAGGTATTTCAAAATAAGGAGAAAAGAAGACATCAGTTTACAATCTTCTCTGCCTATTCTCCTGAAAGAGATGGAGGGTCAAAAAAGCTCATGTAACACTTTCTAGTACTGTTATCTTTTGCTTTTGTCATGTTCCCTGTGCTTCCTCTTCCTTTGCATAAACTGTTTGAGTTTGTTAATATATACCTTCCAGAAAAGGAATGTGATACATTAGTTCCATTATAACATTATGAACAGGAGGAAAAGTGAGTTACCCGTTGATGACACCATTGGAGTAGCCTAAATGCTCAGCGAAGGATTCCTGCAGAGTTATATGCAGTAAACAGATTATTACAAACTACACAGTAACTCAAAATTATGCATTCTTATATAAACTAAATTAAATATATAAGCATTGTGGTTTGAGTTCTGTTATGTTCATACTCCTGGAATCCACCTTGTAGTAACAGTTCTCTCATTAATGTTGTCCTGTACTACTACTACGTGAAATTCACAGTTTGCAGAAGTAATTTCTGTCAGCATACATTTTACCAGATTATAAACATAGTACAACCTAATTAATTTATACTAACTACTGGAAGATCCATTTGCAATTTACTTTATCTAATGAATTAGTGTGCAAGAGAAAAAAGAGTGAAAACCATAATGATAGTACATCACAGTAGATAATTATTAATTCACAAATGCGGTTACAGTCCAGAAATTTATGACACTTTCTCTCTTTCCAGATACATTATTATAGTTATGTACTTTGGGTACTAGTGATAGATGGTATATAGGTCCACTTTTTCTGAAAAAACAAGGTGGATAGAAAAGGACAATTTTGCTTTATATTATGAAAGATTGCTTTATATTATGAAAGATTAGCAGCCTGATAGTTACAAAGATCTTACAAATGACATTTTGAACTAGTGTGTGTACATTATAAATTAGGTGTAAGCAGAGATCAAGTCACTCTGGAAAGTCTTAAAAATTAAAAAAAAAGACCCCTTAATTTTTTTAAGACAGTGCCTCCACTAGATTAAATGCTTTAAAACTAGACTTCAGATTACTAAAAAAGCTGGTGTCTGTTCCATTTGTTTCTAAAAATACAGGGCCATAAAGACTATTGTTTCCAAATGTGTCCTTTTCAGTACAAATTATGTGGACAAAGATGTTCTCACCACATGCACTAGCTTCATCAGCAGTTTTCTGTATGTTAGTCATCTGAATAAAAACAATTCTCGAAATCAAATCTCTCAGTCTTACCTCAATGTGTTGAAACATGTATGGGTGATTGCATATCTTTCGCAATTGCATGATAGTGTTCATAAGAGTTTTTGCCCCACCTTTTCCCTATGGATACAAACAGTGCAAATTAAATGATTAATCTATTTTCTTAGCTTAGTAATGCTTTTGAAAGATATTTTTAAATGCAAGCACAAAAATACTTCTACCTCAAACCCGAACACCACATCTTGTTAATAAAAAACCCCCAAACAAATCAAAACCCAAAATAACAATAGCACAATAGCTACTGTGCAGTTGTGCTCCTGTATAAATTCGTCTATTATAAGAATCCTTCATAACAGAAGAAGAAGACCTAGAGTTGCATTATTTATCTACCTGCAGTGTTCACAGTGCAAAGTAGGGCATCTACTGTCCTGTATACTGCTTATTTGTACTGTTTACTATGAAACCATACAAATTCCATCAGGTCTGAACTCTCTGGATGCTTTCCAGTTCTACGTCAAGTAAAACACAGGGCCACTAGGCAGCTAAAAAGCTAGAGATATCTGTGATACAAAATGAATTCTGAAGGATAGAAGTACAAAATTACATTAAAAATACAGAGGAACATAAATTGATTTTTACAAAGTGCTCCAACTATGAAGGTGAGTATCAATAATCAATGATAAGAACAAGCTTTGTCTGGAGCTTGAATAAGTACCAACAAGGAAAACACTGACTACACAAACATGGAGGATAAAATAAGAGACAATGAAAAAATTCACCCATTGAACCTATGGAACCTGCAAAAGGATGATGAAAGACAGTATGTGATTGCACTGCATCAGCAATAACACATAACGCAGCAAGCACAAACTCTTACATACCAGCTGTTGTGCACTGTCAATTCAAGGTATTTCACATTTATTCTAATGTGAAAAGTGTATACATAAACAAGCTGATGAATGGCTACTTGCCTATATTAACTGGATAAAGTCCCATGATGGCATAATGAACACTTATCAATATGCAGTCTAAACATGACCATTCGACTTTGAATCCTACTGTTCTCTTAAAGAACTTTGTCATTAACAGAGAAGTATGAAGGCAAGCATGCAGCCCTAGCTAGCCAAAACAAGACTTAACTAATAGCTTTGAAAGACAAGACAAACAGCCCTCTGCTCCCATGATTGCAATTATTCAAGTACATTATTGCATTAAGCTTGGCCAAAGAAAATGCTTTTTTTTTTTAAACATTGCCTGTTTGGAGAAAGGCACTGTAACTACACTGAATACAAGCAGCATCTTTCCCTGTGAATAGAAAGGACAATCTGAAGTCTTCTAAAACAAAAGCATGTCTAACAGAGATTTTCCCATGACAGATACCTGCAGTAAAAGCTTACGTAGTAATTTTATGTTAAAACGTTGACTCATAATACAGTGTTTCCTAAGTGTTTTAGTCTTTCTTTTGTACCTTCTTGTCTTTTTCAGAGCCATCTGTGAGAAGAATTCCTTTAGCTTGCATGTGACGGTACAGGATCTTCTGAAGAGCTGACATATCACATTTGATCACATATTCCACCTAGTGTAAAAAAAAAAACAAAAATAACCCAACCATGAGTATACTAAAATAATAATACTGGTAAGATCTAACTGCAGGATCCTGTTACCCTAAAACAGAAATAAAAAAACTACTGTATTTTATTTGTACTCTAACATCATACATGATTCCTGTGAGCAGAAATCCAACTGCAGAAATAAGTATCTAGAGGACTACCTGTGAGAGTCACAACTACTATGAGAAAGCTAGATCCTAAGAATGCAACTGCAGAATTGCCAAACGTATTTTTTTTCTCATTCTTTAACAATTTAAAAAAATAACTAAAAATTAATTTTTGTTTTATTGACATTTAACATTAATTTTAAAAAATCATTTTATGTTTGGTAATCTATGGACATTATTATGTCTGTAAAGCACTATAAAAATATCAAGCAAAGCATTATAAAAATATCATCATTGTACGCCTAGTAAATAACCATCCCTCATACTGTCTAAATAGCATTATTCTTACCTAGGTTGGAATAGAAATATGCTATTTTCTCAACATCAACTAAAAACATAGGGTATTAATCAAGTACTGTAAAATCCCCACATTCAATTTGATTTTCTGTTCAGCTTTGTAAATCTGTATTTATTAAAGAAGGTTTTGACCGCACACTATCTTTAAATCCTCTAATACGAAGACTTCATACCTCAATTTAACCCATTTTTTTTCTATTATCCAACTTCCAAATTACAGTCACTACATTTTTCTAAGTTATGTAAGTCAAAAACGGTCATATAAAAAAGACCCACTAGTGGCTAGAAATCTTTCAAGCGGTGCCTAAGGAAAAGGTGTAAGCTTCTTAATATTTAATAAATAAATAGAATAAAATTTACCAGGGAATATTATTCTTAGAAAGACAGGAGGATAAACTCATGAAAGGAAGTGATTATTTCTTCAATGGCTTCTTTTCCAAGATTTGTAGGATCAAATGAAACCGACTGTCAGGCTTTGGTCAACAAGTTCAAGCCTCATGGTTAGACTAACTGACTTTATTTTTAAACAAGATAATGGAAACAAAAAGAAATGTGCATATGCAACTTCTAAATCCTCTAATTGGCAAAAAAATTAATGAAGATTTCAGTAATATTTTTAAAAATATGTATGTTTTACTCTCAAGTAAATGCTTCTGAGAATACTGAGATTTGAAGAAACAGAAAGTCACAACAGTAAGTGTTCACACCACCATAAAGATGAGAAAGAAACTGTAGAAAAGCGTGTCCTTTGAGTATTGTCACTAAGCATCTGTACCAGAGCTCTTGATTCCTTCAGTGTTTTTCATCTCATAACACAGTTTACCAAAATTTCATTTTGGTATTGTTTTAACCCAGTAGACCTCAGCATCAAATTTTCCCTAGCATACCTTCAAATTTACTTTATTCAGTTGCTGCTGTTACTCTGGGAAGGGTGAATGAGAAAAGTGATGTTGGATTACAAAGGTGGACAGGGTGTGGAAAGATCAGCTGCCCAGAGATAAAATGCATGATCTCTCAAACCAGAAGAGAATTTTATCTTCTTAATTATGACATCACTAGTCAAAAAACCATGTGCAATTTCAACAGGACACTTCATACAACTCCTGCAACAGGACCAAATTCTGCCGGCTTATAAAGTTCAATAGTCCTTTAGGAACATCAGTGACCTAGCTAAGGAAGCAAAGGTTCTACATGACAGAATCTAATCTGTTGACTCACTTACAACCTGAAACCAAATATTACAGAAATAAGTTGCATGTCTTACACAGACGAGTACAAACAGAATTAAAGCTGTAAGATGAGTAAGGAACCCTGAGAATCCAGAAACTTCAGCTATACAGGCTTCCTTAGTGGCCAACTTTCTTTGCAGAGTTATAAACAAACAATCTATAGCAGCAACAGATGCTTGAGAAGCCCCCTTCAGCAAAATAGCTCTGAAAAAGGAACATTACATAATGCTTATAAGCAGTATTAAACCCCTTTAATAACTTCTCTCATTGCAAACCTTTTCTGGCAGTTGAGATTCAACTTCTTTCTTCAATCTTCTCAGCAAGAAGGGTCGGAGCACTTTATGGAGACGACGTATGATCAGAATTGTTTCTTCCTCATTTAAGTCCACCTACAGAAGTTTATAAAAGTCACTACAAGGCAACTCAGTGTATTACCTAATGTCTTCTCTCACAGGAAAGGTTAAGGATGTGCAATAACTATTTGCATGTTATAACTAAAATGCCTCTAAGTCAAAAAAGACACTGATACTAAAATCTCCTGGCATTATAAAAAAGGTGGCTTTCAGTTACATTAGTTCCCTAAGTACCAGGGAGAATTCAAACACTAACTCCCCTGTATAAATTTCTGTTTTCAAAGTACTTTGTTTCTGATTTTTTTTTTAAAAAAACTGCCACAGTACCCTTTCTCCAGTCATGGCAAATGGAGCGTTGAACCACTGTTCAAAGGTGCTACAGCTCTTGAAAATGGTTGGTAGAAGGAAATTGAGAAGAGCCCAAAGTTCAGGCAATTTGTTCTGCAATGGAGTCCCAGTCAGCAGTATTCGCCTAGGGGCCACATAGTGAGTATTCAAGACTTGAGTCAGCTTGCAGTGATGGTTCTTCATTCGATGGCCTTCATCTACTATCATGTATTTCCACCGAATCTGCAAGAAAAAGAAGAAAAGTTGGCAAAGTCAGAGCAGGTCAGACTTAGACAACTTCCTCCCAACAGGTATAAAACAGAAATATTCCAAGACTAAGACATCAGTCATTCTCATTTAAGAAAAAAGCGAAATCAAGAGTTATCGGATTACCAGTGCCCTTGCAAGCATCAAAAATAGAAATGAATGTTAGGTATGCTGAATCTGATGCTTTCTTGAATTGCAACAGCGATCAGCCGATTCCTCCCACTTCTGGGAAAGAGATTAGAGCGTCTGGCTCTTCAAGGTCAGAATATGGTTTACAGGGGAAGAAAGAGATGATGAACTCCAAATAAACCTGTCAGCAACAAGAACCTTGACAGGAGACAAAAGCATTTTCAGACAAAATAACTACACTCACAAACAAATGCAACCCTGAACTTTATTTTGTTTCAGCTAATTTTATGTTGTTACTCAAGAACAACATAATCATATATACATAATAATTTTATCTCAGTTACTGCATCTTCAAACAAAGTAGCCACTGTGACCGTACAACTAGGAAGGCCTTAATTTGTGCTTTCGTAGGTACTAACTAATTCCATTTTCCAGGATAGTTTGAATAGCATAGTGCTGTTCTTTCCTATGTTTTAGCAAGGGTGAGTAAAAACGGTAGAGGCAGGAAAACTCTGTAGTCTCAAGCTGTTCTCTAGTGTTCAGAATTATGCTAAGAAAATAGACTGCCTTTGTATCAGAGAGGAAAAACGAATAAATATGCGGTAAGTAACAGAATGAAATAAAGTGAAAATGAACAACAAAGTGACAGTAGGACCATATGGTTTCTTAGTAACACTTCCTTAGTCTGCTTTGTGTGTACATGAAGTAGTCTCACAGTACAGTAGCTTTCAAACTGAGGAACATCTGTTGACTCTTGGTGAGCCTTTAGTAACGTGTTTAGTAACATGTCCAGATACCAAATTTGTGGTACAGGTAACCACTTAGTCATTTGAGGAAAACTGACCACTTAGCTGGAAAGATTCTAATATGAGTGAGATTCAGGTCAGAAAGATTGGAAAAAAAAAAAGTTAGTCAGGACTGCAGATCAGGTTAAATGCCATTAAGCAAAGGGGAGAAAACGGTTTTCCAAGGACAGGCACATGCACAGAATTCCAGAAAGGAATTAAGTCCCCCAGCCACATTCAGGAAAATCCTGGTGTTTACAGGAAGAAGACTTGTGACTGAGAAGTCCAATCATAAACACAGGAATAGAAAAGCAAATGAAAGGTTTAACTTCTATTGAATGACAAAATAACACAGAACATCTGTATAAAACAAAAACATTCCTTATTCTATTCACAATTTGAAAGTGTCTTAAAGGTCTTGCTGTTAAGTGATAAGTCATTTTTACCTTAGCAAGGATATGTTTGTCCTTTATTATGTACTCATAAGTAGTTAAAAGAACATTGAATTTTCCACTTCGAAGCTGAGGAACAAGTGAGCGGCGCATTGCAGGTGTACCCTAAAAGAAGAAGTGAAGTGAGTAGTTACTCTTTCTTCTGACCAAAAAAAAAATAAAATCGTTTTTATTAATTACCAGGCACAGAGGAACCAAATGGAACTTGTAATCCTACAGTATCATAAACACTATATTGAGGCATTCCAGACTTCTTCAGAGTGCTTTCCGTAAGCGGCTGCTGAACAGTAAAGCTCTGTGTACAGGGCACCGGAAACGTGCACATAGTGGTCTAGGCTCCTTATAAATTGCTTGGCCATATCGCTGTTGCAGAAGTCAAACTGCAAAGTATTCAGCTATGTACTAAATGTGAAGTAGTTATCATTTGTATTACTCTCATGAGAAGCCTAGCAATGCAACTAATAATAATTTTATTCTACATTTCACTGTGCAGTTTATTACTGTCTTCTTATTGTGACTAATTCTCAGAGCTTTGAACCTGACATACATGACAAAATTTTACAGACAGTTTACAAATGCATGCAGAGGCAGAGGGAAAACTGGCTCTATTTTCACTCCTTCAACTCTATAATCATAAAATAAGCAAATCAAACCTTGTAAGATATCTTCACCACAGAAGGAGCCCATTTGTCAAATTCATATGTCCAATTGGATAAAGTCCTATCATAGAGATTATAAAGAAAAATTAATATATTTCATCATTTGCAGGTAAAATCTCATAAATATTTCCAAGTGGTTGCCAACTTTTCAACACATTCAATGTATATTATGTAACAGTATATATTTAAAAAATATACTTTATATACTGTAATAAAATAAAAGCATCTTTGAAAGGGAAGAAAAAGAAAAAAGTGTAAAACTCTCATATTCAGGGGCCTCTTTGAAAACATTTCAGAACATTTTTTTATGTGCATCTTTGTGTTTTGGAGCATATTAAGAGTAAGAGAGATAACTCTGAACAAAAAATAGATTTCTAAGTTCTTTTATACTACCTACCATCCAAAACCTGATACTACAACTTTCCAAATACAGTCTCTCAAAGCTGGTAACAGAACTCATCTGTATTCTACTCGTGTAGAACTAATCATAGTGCCACCCAGCGTCACTATGTAGGTATGCACTGTGTTTCTCATAAACAGTTTTTTATAGCTAAACTAATCGCTACCAGCAAAAAAACCCCCAACTCTGGAGGTTTTTTGCGTTGTTTTTTTTCTCCTTACTGGACCTGTGATGGCAGCTGTTTTAGCTATTAATTATAGGCAAGGAAAGGTAGCTTTTAAAATGTATATAGGAAGGAAATTTCAGCATCTCTCTTAGGAACATAAGAAAATTCACTATGCAGTACTTAAAAGAAATCCAATTTTTCTTTTACCACGTGTGTATGAAATATCACAGAATCACAGGATGTCAGGGGTTGGAAGGGACCGCGAAGGATCATCTAGTCCAGCCCCCCTGTCAGAGCAGGATCACCAGTAGGTCACACAGGAATGCGTCCAGGCGGGTTTTGAATGTCTCCATAGAAGTAAACTCCACAGCCTCCCTGGGCAGCCTGTGCCAGGGCTCTGTCACCCTTGCAGTGAAAAAGTTTTTCCCGATGATTTTGTGGAACCTGCTGTGTTCCAGCTTGCACTTGTTGCCCCTTGTCC